TAAACTCCAAAATTCAAATTATTTAAAATTTAAACTCTTAAAGTCATAGCACTATCTTAGGTTAACCCAAAATAATTAATATGATATAACATTAAACTAAGTAACGAATCTTGCCAAGAYTTTTCAACTCTATGACGTGTTTCTATTGCAAGTATTCTAGCATATTTTTGTTTTTAATATCACATAAACACAAATCATCAACATCTAAAAATATCCAACTTTAAATAATACATATTTTATCAACTTAAATAACTAAATATAAATACATTATATTAAAATAAACTATTTTATAATAAATTATTCAGGATTCTAGTACGACTGTCAGATTCTGGAAGTTGTTGGTTTTATAATGATATCTGCTGTTTTGTGGAAAACACTTTAAGAAAAGTGGAAAAGCTTAAAAAGTTTCACACAAAACTATAAATTATTTACAATATATAATATAATATCTTCGCTCAGYATCTTTTTTTATATGTAATAATTRATAAAWCATTAAATTCAAATTTAACACGTGCATTACAGTAACGTAAGCAACTTAATAACGAAGTAGCTATACTTAATTTTAACTCCACACATATTTTACATTAGAGTGATTGGAAATATACCCACTTTTTTATTGAATTTATACTATATCCATACAATGTTTTTATAGTTGTATTATTCAAATATATTTTTTAACATCACAAATTACAAGTTGAGTTGTCATGTCTAATCAAACTTCAAACATTAAAAAAATTCTTTAGCCCTGTATTTTATATGACTGTGTTAAAAATCWTTAATGGAGATAAAGATAGGGTAAATCTACGGAAATTAATCACGGGAAGTTTTGAACATGACTAGCCGSGTAATAAACAACGAATTAAACACAAATTTTGAATTATATAGATTTGATATTTTTAACGAGGAACAAAGTGCACAAGGATCAGCTAGTATAATTTATATCATATTATTATCTGATTAGTAAAATATTTTTGTCGTGGAACAACGAAAACGTTTWAGTAGTATATATTATACTATGATTATGAAAATGTCGTCGGTTTTCAAGACCTTTGTGATATGGTTGTCACCGCTGTTCATTAAAAGATCTTGTTCGCATATCACCCATATCAGAGGATACCAGCCCCCTTTGGAATTCCTAATCAATCGTATTTTACTAATTACTTATAATAAAAAATACAATAATAATGTTGAAAAGCGAATTGAAGTATCATACCAATACAAACGATTCTGTTATTAGAATTTAACTGAATAGTAGCTATTTGAATATTATATTGTACATAGAAACTAAGTTGCTTGCCTGGCTGAGCGTTTAAGTGTTTTTTTTTCATCTTCAGCCATCAAAAATAAAAATAGTTTCATAATTTTTATATTTTACACAGATTTGAGTTAAAAATAGTAACCCGAGTATCCTAACCCATTTTTAGATATTATATCCAGTCCCTCATTTTTTAATGGTGTACCGTCAATTGCGCGTGATAATTTCAGCGCACGTTAATTGGGCGTGGAAATTATAGCGCATGACAATGAAGTGCATACGACATCTTGGCGCGCGTAAAATTAGCGAATACGACATTTTAGCGTGTGATATTTTAACTCAACAAAATAACAAAATAATACAATAAAGATACAGCAAACAAAATATTACACATATGCGAAGATTTTGAAAATCGACCACTCAATGA